TAAAGTCTTCCCATTTGTTACCTAATTTAGCTTTTAAATTCTTGAGTAAATTCTGTCCAATATGAAAAATACAATGTGCAGCATATGTTTCAGAGAATGTAATACGAATCGTAGTATCGAGTGCTAGATTCACATTAGTAAATATAACTAAGGTTTCGATTTTTGTAGTATTTTTTATACAGGTCAAGGTCTAACTATAAATATTAAGAGTCTTATTGCTCACTAGAGCCTGACAAACAAGTCACGTTTTTCCATTATTGTCAATAATCACAAATAGCCCCAAGGGCATTTAATATTAATTAGTTTTTGCCATATTATCACTAATAACCACATTATAATATTTTAGATACAAGTCGATCTGCTTAGGAGATATTCAAAATAATCGTGTAAGTCTGTTATCTTCATCTAACTCAAATTCTACAGCCCATCTAGGGTCTTCCATTTTATTAGCTAATAAGGAGTTAAGAAGTTTTGATATATCTTTCACTTCATGCTTATCTCTTTTAAATTTCTGAATACAATTAGCAAGGTCACTATCAAGAAATTGCAAATTAGAAAAACGTGCTTTTAAAATATTGCGCTGAGAAGTAATAGATAAGTTTCCATATTTCGTCATGATTTCTATTTTTTTTTGAGTATTCTTTGTAAGAGAACGATATTTGAGCCCAAAATTTTGTGTTTCTATATGTAGTTTATAATTATGCTTGTTAATAATTGTAGTAATTGATATATAAGTTCCAACTTGTTCTTGTATTTTTTTGGTTACTCTTCTAATTTTTATGAGGCTTATATTTTCCACCAAACTCACAAATAAAAGTTTGTTTATGAATCATTCCTGCTTTATTTTTTTCTAAACGATACTTAATTACAGTAAAGCCGTTTTGTTTTTCATACTCCTCAAAGAATGTTTCAATATCTACCCAAGAACTGAATATAACATCCATACAAATATCTTCTGAAATTGTTTCAACATTATTTGTGCTATCTAAAACTTCATTATTATGTTCTTCAAGATCAGCATCAAGCTCATCAGTCAGTTTATTTTCATCTTGACTATTTAAATTATCAGGTTCGTCCATAATTGAAATAGCAGGTTTACTTATATTTGACGCATTAGGTTCGTTCATATTCAAGGCTTTATTTTGCCCTTTTTATTGTATTTCCAGATATCATCACTTTGATTATAGAATAAGCCAGAGGTATTGTTAGCCATAAGCAATTCAATATTATCATTAAAAAAAACATATTGTTCCATATCTAACATGTCTTCTGGATAATTATTTGAAAAATGGGGCGTGTTTAGTTCATACCAATCTGGTTCCATGTTTATTACTAAGTGGTTTGTTATAATAAGATAAAATCGACAAGAAAATCAGATCTAGAGGTGACAATAAAATTGAACCAAGAAAATTGGATACAGAGAAGATGAAAATTGGAAAGCAACTCAAAGTGAAGACAACAAAAAATATGATAAAAATGAATATAACACGAAATAAGATATGAATATAACAAAAAAAGATCAGAGGTAAGTGACTCGAATATGACTTTATACTTGTTTGGCATGCGATAAAATATACACATCGCATTATGATATAATTTACTGGCGGCGATGAAGATTTCATATCGTGGCTGTGATCACGTGATTAAATATTGCTCTAGTCTTGTAGTTTCAATCATATATGTGTAAGGTGCGATGCATTGATATACATCACATACTAGTTTATATTTATTTGATAAATTAAAGCATTGCAGGATGCTAAGCATACAATTATTCTTTTTATTAATAAAATTTTAATAATTTTAATTTTTTTTTAATTGCAGATTCTCACTAAATGCAGATCAAAGTACTAGTCCTGGCAACATGCACTTAGAGAGAGTTGATTGTATATATATTAGTGCTAAGTTTGGTTTGAAGTTTGTAATCTGGTCTGATATGTTTTTTATAGCTTAGCTCATCATATAAGCAAATTTGTAATACAAATCTATTTATATAATAAGCTAAACTATAAAAAAACATACCAAACTAAACTGAACATATTTGCAAATTTCAAACTTTATAAAAGTATATTCATTTAAAGTACTTTTTAAGAACACTATACTTTACTAATAAAAAATTATCACAATTATTTCAATAATATATAAAGTAACCAATTTTATTATATTGAATTTAAATAAGCTTTTATTCCTATTTGAATAGGTATAGGCTCTTTAACTAAAAGATTCAGGCTTAATATTTAAATTTGGTTTGTTTTTGTAGTGTGTTTAAGAACTAATTTTGGGCTTTTTAAAAAAGTAGTAGAAGGAAAAATCTGTAGAATTTTGCTATATATAGCATCTAAAGTTTTAGTGGGTTAACTATATACTCAAGCATCAAATATTTTCAGCCAAACAAGGAGCATTTGATAAAATTTTGTTAATAGTGATTTTGTATTAAAAATTATTAGTAGATCAAGACCTAAATATTTAGGATTGATTTTGTTAATTTTAAAGAAATATAAATATAATATTTGAAATATAAAGCAACAAACAATTTAAAATCTTAGATTTTTTTTGAATATTATTACAAAAATCATATGCAATATCTTTTTGCAACACGCTATATATAGAAAAGATATTTACTTATTAGAAAATTAATTTGTTCTTTAAAACTCCAGATTCAAAAAAGGCAAAAAACAATAGTAAATTTCACTATAATTTACTATTTTTTTTCACTATTAATTAGATGGATTACGAATTAATAATTATTTCATATAAATAAGAAAACTTTCATCCCACTAAAATTAATCTGTTTTCTGTCATTCTATACTAAGTATTATTTGTAAACTATTAATAATTTTGTCTATGTACTTATTATAAACTCTAAGAAATATTGACAACCAAACATTTTACCATTTATACACCAAATTTAAATACTCTTTTTGATAGGTTGTCTAAATTTTGTTAATTTGTGGAAATATATAAATTTGAATAATATTTAGGTGGTTTTGAAAAGTTTGCCAAAGATGACATTACAGTGTTATAAATTCAAAATTTCTTATTAGTTGGCACAAATTCAAAAAAATATGCAAAAGCAAATTTATATTCATTTTATATATATAGAAAGTTATATAAGTATAAATTCATCTTTTTTTAAAATAGATTTTCTTAATTATTTATTGTTATTATATAAATTTGTTATTTATAAAAATATATATCTTCATCTTGTTTTTTTCAACTTTTTTTATATCATTCCCTTTTTTAATCAACTTAATATTGTATAATATAATATATATCTTTAATATGAGCATATTTTTGCATCAAAATATCAATTTATAACAACTTGCTTGCAGAACAATCTAAAAAGGTTAGTAGTTCTTCAGATATTATTCAAATAGCCAAAAATATTACTCAATTGAATTCAGAAGATAAGACAAAACTTTTTACAAGATTTTCTTAATGAAATTGTTAAAGAAATATGTAGATAAAGATTTTGATAAGCAATTTTTAGCAACAGAAATTATTAAAATATATTCTTATTTGTTTAATGAAATGGATTAAGATGATGATAATGAAATCAAAAAACAATTTTTGGGAGCTAATTAAACTAAAATTATAATCTGATATCTGATCCACTATGGATAATCTGGGTAATATATACTTAGATTCAATTATTATATTTAAACTTAGACTAGTTTGCAAAATTCAAACCAAACCTGAACCAAACTCAGACTTGACTAAAAAATCTAAATATAAAAGTTTAAGTCTGGTCTAAAAATTAGACCAAACTTAAACTTGACTAAAGTTTGGTTTTGGTTCGGTTTATAGAAACACTAAGTGGCACTTTTTTTAATTAAATAAAAAAACATTTTAAAAGCTTTTTTTAGCAGTTTTTTTTGAATTACTATATGGTAGTTTTATTTTTTATTTATTTTTCTTATAATTCTGTTTAAATTATTTAAATTATTTAATTTTATTTTTACATAATTCTCTATATAAACTGCTTCTATACTAATAAAGCTATTTCTATACTAATACTATATTAATTTTAACCTTAACTCTAAACTATACAAGTATCTTTTATACTAATTTTGCATATAACAAATACAGAAATAAATCAGTACAATAACAAAATATAGATAAAAAATGAGACAAAAACTAAGTTTAAGAAGACAAATATTTTTTTTATATTAGGCCATGCAAAATTAATTAAATGGTTTTCATAACCCGGCCGGGTCAAAATTTGAAAATTTCAAAAAA